GGCTTTACAAATATCTAAGTAAGACTCTGCTTTCAAAACTTTGAGATATATACCCAGAAAGAGGATTGTTAGATCATATGGTAATTTTATTTTCAATTTTGGACAAACCACCTCTATTAGTCTGTTTTCATGCTACTGATAAAGATATACCCGAGACTGGGAAGAAAAAGAGGTTTAAATGGACTTACAGTTCCACATGGCTGGGGAGGCCTTAGAAGCATGGTGGGAGGTGAAAGGCATTTCTTACATGGCAGCAGCAAGAGAAAATTAGGAAGAAGCAAAAGCAGAAACCCTTGATAAACGCATCAGATCTTGTGAGACTTATTCACTATCACAAGAATAGCATGAGAAAGACCAGCCCCCATAATTCAATTACCTTCCCCTGGGTCCCTCCCAAATCTTGTGGGAATTCTGGGAGATATAATTCAAGCTGAGATTTGGGTGGAGACACAGCCAAACCATATCACCACCATACTGTTTTTCATAGTGGTTTTAGATGAGAAAAATGACAAAACTCTACTGAAAAAATCAGGCACTATCTAAATAAATGGAGAGACATTCCAGGTACATGGGTAGAAAGACTCAATATTGTCAAGATGTCAATTTTCCATAACTTAACTTATGGATTCACCACAATCCCAATCAAAATTTCACCAAGTTATTTTGTGAATAATAACAAACTAACTCCAAAATTTATATGAAAAGGCAAAAAAAAAAAAACAAAAACAAAAAAAACTAGAATAGCCAACACAATATTGAGGAAGAACAAAGTTGGAAGACATACTATTCAACCTCAGGATTTACTACAAAGCCATAGTAATCAAAACAGCATGGCATGGGCAAAATAATACATAAACAGATCAATAGAACAGAGTAGAGAGCCCAGAAATATGCCTACACAAATATAGTTAACTGATATTTGATAAAGAAGCAATGGGAATTCAATGTGGACAAGCTAATTCTTTTCAACAAATGGTGCTGGAACTGAATACTCACATGCAAAAATGAGAATCTATAAACAGACCTTAAGCATAAAATGATAAAATTCCTAGAAGATAACGTAGAGTCCTAATTAGGGAAGGGCAGTCAGGCTGGTGGGAGCAGGGGAAACCAAAAAAAAAAAAAAAAAAAAAGAAGAAGAAGCAGATAAGCTACAAGTCTGCCTTTCTTCATAATCCAGAACACACAGCCTTCCTGCACAAATAACTCACAATCTTCCTGTGCCTAGCTATCAGCAGACCCTCGGCTGATACAAAATATTGCAAGTTAGCTCACTGCCACTGACAGCGGCAGGAGGCAGACAAATGCCTAGGCAGAGAGGGGCAAGTCCCCAGGGAAACCCCACCTCCAAGCCAAGGACAGTTTAAAGCCTGAAAGCCAAGCTACAAGTCAAATTCACAGACTGGACTAAGAAGCTGTCATCCTGCTTGGCGTTCTTTCCTCTGACTGATCCCCACCCTTCACCTGGTTTACATACACCTACACTTCCTAATTGTTTTTTTTTTTTTTTTTTTTTTTTTTGAGACTGAGTCTTGCTCAGTTGCCCAGGCTGGAGTGCAGTGGCCCGATCTCGCTCACTGCAAGCTCTGC